GTTCCCTCCTCAATGTGACCCTCCTTCAAATATTTAAACAGGGGTATCATATCCCCTCTTAACCTTCTCTTCCCCAGGTTAAACAGACCCAGCTGCCTAAGTTGCTCCTCATAGAATCATAGAATCATCATAGAGTTGGAAGAGACCACAAGGGCCATCCAGTCCAACCCCCTGCCATGCAGGAACTCCCAATCAAAGCATCCCCGACAGATGGCCATCCAGCCTCTGCTTAAAGACCTCCAGGGAAGGAGACTCCACTACTCTTCGGCATAATCAAGTGGCATAGTCATGTTGAGGATCATCATCATCATTATTATTATTATTATTATTATTATTATTATGAATGGAGCAAGCTTGTTTTCTGCTGCTTCAGAGAATAGGACCTGGAGCAACGGATGCAAGCTCCAGGAAAAGAGATTCCACCTCAACATTAGGAGAAACTTCCTGACAGTGAGAATTGTTTTGACAGTAGAACACACTCTCTCAGAAATTTTGGTGGAGTCTCCTTTGGAGGTCTTTAAACAGAGGCTGGATGGCCATCTGTTGAGGGTGCTTTGATTGTGTATTCCTGCATGGCGGAACGGGGTTGGACTGAATTGTAGTCTTTTCCAACTATGATTCTATGACCATCAGATCTTCTCCAGGCTAAACCTACCCAGCTCCCTAAGTCTCCTTCAGTTGTTGGCATCTCCTGGTACAGCTAGGAGGAAAGACTCGCACTTGGGACCCAGAGAGCCATGGCCCCCATCCAGGAGTCTGGCTCAATAGGAAGGCAATTGCAGCTTCCTTTATCCCATCATCCCCACATCCCCCTGCTCCTTCCTGGACTGTATAGCCCCTAAGGCTGAGCTGGCAGGGTGGGTAGGAACAGCCTTGAGTATGCTCTGGGGGTAGTTCCCCCGTCGCCTGTTTGTGAAGAAGACATGCGCATGGATGCCACAGTGCAGGGAGACCAGATCCAAAAAAGAGATTGTGCATTCCTTCCCATAGAAACACAAAGGAGGAAGTCTTTGAGGGCATCCCGTCCAGGCCATCACTTGCATTATTTGCTTGCAGTTTTTGCAAATACAGAATCATGGAGTTGGAAGAGACCACCAGGGTCATCCAGTCCAACCC